TCTTTAGATAGATGAAAAACAACCATTTGCATTGCTTTCACAAAACTTGAGTCATCATGCCTCATCCTAGGTGCCCTTCCATTCTCAAATGCAACTAGAGTTGAATTCCAAGGCTGTGACTAAAAGAGTTTCAGCTTCTTATTATTATTTTTGTTCAATTTTAATATTCATTTAAATTTTTAATTTTTTTAAAAGTATAATTGTATTAATAATTAAAACAACTATAATGTAAATTATTCCATACTATATAGTTAATTTTCATAACCTGTTGGATAATTAGACATTGAGAACCTAAATATCAATATATATCATAGGGTATCAATAGAGTTACGTAAAAATATAGAAAAATATGGGTATGAGGCTGGAAATTGGTGTAACTGGGTAAAAGAAGGGAAGAGTGCAAGGTCAAACTGGTGGAAAGATTTGTGTAGGTTAGATGTACTAGAGGAGAATAGAAGGGGTCGGCTGTCAGGGGGCTTCCAGATTAGGATCGATAATGGAGAGAAAGTTAGTTTTTGGAAGGATTCATGGAGTAATATTGGAGTGCTTGCTAATGTTTTTTCGAGATTATATATGCTTTCTACAAGGAAAGACAACACAATGATCAGATGGGTAGATGGGAAGACAACAAATGGGTTTGGAACCTTTCTTGGAGACACCCACACTTTTGGGAGCAAGATTCCATGTAAGATTTCAACAAACTTCTCACGGAAACTAACCTGACCATAAGGAAGCAAGACACTTGGACCTGGGAACGAGATAAGTTGGGTGATTACTCTGCAAGTTCAGGATACACTACTTTGGTCCAACATCAACCCTCATCATACTGACAAGTTTTTGAGAAGATTTGGAACCCCCTTATTCCTCACAAGTCACAAAGTCTGTGGATTCACTTGGCTACTACTAATTGATAGGATTCCCTCGAAATTCAACTTGCTAAAAAGGGGGTTAATTAAGGAGATGGAGGCTGTTAAGTGTAGCTTTTGTGGACGGAATGTGGAAGACAGCAACCATCTTTTTCTCTACTACTCGGTTAATGAAAAAATTTGGGCAATGTACTTCGAATGGTGGGGTTTCTCCACTGCAGTTGTTGGTTCATGTTGGGATTCTTTCATCCAACATGAATCCTTAGCTACTAAAAGCAATGAACTACTGGGTTGGATTATAGTGTGGTTTTCTCTTGTTTGGACCATCTAGACTACCAAGAAAGAGATAATCTTTAGAGGTAAATCAATGGATTTGATAAAGACTTTTGATCAAGTTCAGGCTCAAGCCTTCCTTTGGGTCAAGAACAAAGGAAAGGAAGTACATTTCTGCTTCTTTGACTGGATCTTAAACCCCAAGTGCTGTAAGTTTTTGTAAATGGGTCTCCCAACACTATACTATTTTTGGTTCTTCATTCTAACAGGGATTGACTAATGAATGCAGGTTTGAGTACAAGGGATACTCATTTAATTAACTCTTTTGCCTTTCAAAAAAAAAAAAAGACTTTTTATTTGTTATTGGTAATTATATACATTTTACTATTCGGTCCTAATACAAGAGATCAAGAGACATAATGATCTAGTATTGAAAATTTAACAATCTATCAAAATAATAATTGAAAATTTTTTTATCAAATAAAAATATTTAATAAGAACTATTTATAAGAAAAAAAATTTAATTATTGTTTATATAAATTATTAAATTTTTATTCAAAATTCATAACTTAAAAATTAAAAAGTCAAAATAAATCCATTCAAAGTAAAGGGAGGAAGTATCTAATAACATAAAGTCTCTTTTTATTTAGAGTATTATAGATAAATATAATTATTATCTTTAAATTTTTAAGTTAAAAAAATTAAATGATCATGTTATTTAAACAAGTAAATATTTACACATTTTAAAGTTTTTGGATTTACTTTTTTGTTTTTTCTCCAATATGCCATTTACTTTGAGAACGTTTCTAAACGTTTTAAAATAACTTTGA